GAAGTGTTATTTGCATTACTTAAATAGCAGGTTGCCAGTTTTTTGTCATTTTGATTGCTCTGGAATAAAAGATAGACATGGAGCTTGACTTGGCAGGGATTTAACTTAACTTGTTGCTTTTTAGCTCAAAAGAGAAAATAAAGGGCTCTAGAGATGTCTTTGTGGTAGCGGTTTGCTGTTCCAGTGAGGTCATGGAGAAGCTCCTACAGTACTGCAGTGTGCTGCGCTCAGCTGTTTTCATTTTTTCCCTAGGAAGATGCAACTCTGAGACCATAGCACGTAGCCCTCTGAGACCAGAGGTGGAAGGACAAGAGAAATTACAGATACCCTGATCAGAGCCTGATAGAACTAAGGCTTTGGTGTCTAATCTATTGCAGAAGAGTTACCTTTTTCAGAAGTAGCTGCCCATCATTTTGTCTTGTGGCTTTGGCAGATAGGAATGCGTTTCTGAAGGGCTGTACATCAGTCAGCTTAATTTTTTGATGGCTACTCTCTTGCAGGAGCGTCAGAAACAGTTGGAAAGTCTTGGCATATCTCTTCAGTCTTCTGGAATAAAAGTTGGGGATAATAAGTGCTTCCTGGTTAATTTGAATGCAGATCCAGCTCTCAATGAACTTCTGGTATACTATTTAAAGGTAAAAATAAATACTGATCTATATATAAATTATTTATTTTTTTTAATAGAAGTGGGCCATTGGCAGAGGTGTACTTAGAGGATATTATAAAAATGCCTATCTAAAGCATTCTCTGATACTGCCTCATTAAAAATAATATTACTGCAACCTTTTTATTTCAAATTTAATTCTTTGTATCAGAAGAAGGTTTGGGGGTTTTATGTTTTTGTTTTGTTTTTTAGAAGAAATTTAGAGATGCTGTCTCTACTATAAACTGTCTTCTGTTTTTTTATGCCAGCTTTCACAAGGTTTTACCCAGAAAAGTATTTTATCTGGGTATATCAGTAATCAGCTTGCTTCTACATGTGTAGTACTGACTTCAGTTTATAAAATGCATTTTTATTCCTCTTCATGCAACTTGCTAGGAGTGAAAATCAAGTTCTGTTCTGCCCTAGCACTTCTGCTGATGTCATGTAAAATGCATAATGTGACTTTTGGACTCTGCGCTGAAACATTTGAGCAGTTGATTCTAGTTTAACAAACTGTAGACGTGATCTGGAGTCAGGAGGAGAAATGAGATACAACCATTTTTAAGTCACATTTTGGAATACAAGTTCTAAAAAGTTAGCAGCGTAAGAGCGTTGGCAGTTTGAGCGTCACATTAAATCATTCTCTTCTCTTTGAAGTGGTCTATAGTAACTCTCAAAACACCCACAGAATTAGCAATTAGGCTGAAAGATGGTTTTGGTTTAGTCGGTCTTAGGAAATACGCGATCCCTTTTTATATCAGTCATAGTTGCTCTGTGATATCTTGATGAAAGCGAGGGTAAGAGCTTTTCCAATGTTGAATGCTAAAAAAAAGTTAAAAAGGACAAAAAGAGCTGAGCTGAGGTTTTGGGAGAAGAATTGAATCCTTTCCAGGCGCCTTGCACGTAGGTGTCCACAGTGTGACTCAAGCTGCCAAATCAGCCTCGACACTGGCAGCTATTGAAGCAGAGCCGACTTCTGTGGCGTTCGTTGTGAACGCATGACGAGTGCGCTGAAGACACAGCCTGCTCAGAAAACAGGCCTTGGCCCATCAGTACCAGCAGGAAGGTCTCAGGTGGTACTGTGCTTTTTTCCTTTTCTAGAGAAAACCCCATTGCATGGGGGATTTTTTGTGTGTTTGGATTAGGCTTTATGTTTTGTTGTTTTTTTTTTTTTTTTTAATAATGCAAGTTCGTTTTGTTGGTTGAGAATTTTGCTGTAGAAATCCCCGTGCTTTGAAATTCTTTCGATAAAATGACTTACGCCTGTTTTGCCTGCAATTCTGAGATTAAACTCTCTTACTTCTCAGAGTAAATATCTTGCCCGCATTCTCTTTAATGCTGAGCTGCATATGTACTAGTTCTTACAAGCACCAAAGAACAACTTGGTCTGACTTATCTAAACTATTGTAGCTGTTCCTCAAAAATGACTCAGAGATGCCTGAAAAAAGAGGTGGATGAACTGGGGCATGTGTGGAGTGATCCTTCCTCTGCCAAATCCCTCAGGCCTCGAGTGCTTCAGGAATTTTCTAAACCATTGGATGATCTGGATGGAACCTGCGTAACAGCAGTGGGTCTAACCACCGTGAACCTGTCTAATTCCTCTTTGAACTCATTTATACTTTTGGCTTCTGCAACATCCTGAGGCGCTGAATTCCACAATTAAGTTATAGAAACCTCTTCATCTTCGGATTGAACTGTTGCCTGTGAACTTTCCTGAGTGCTCCCTACTCGTAACTGTAAGACAAAGCGAGGATTTACTTGCAATGTTTTATTCTCCTTTTTCCCTCTAAGGGAAGTATTGAACAGCTTTCAAATTTTGCACAAGATATATCCAGAAGGAGAATGGATGAGTTAGAACTAGTGAACTTCTGGAATCCATTGCTAACATCTTAATTAATTTTTCCCAGGAGCACACGTTAATAGGCTCAGACAACTCTCAAGATATCCAGCTGTGTGGAATGGGAATTCTTCCTGAACACTGCATTATAGACATCACCCCAGAAGGACAGGTTATGTTAACACCTCAAAAAAATACTAGGTAAAGGAATAAAATACAGCTCCAGTTGTATAATAATTGTAGTTTTATCTAGTATTTTCTGATTAGTGGTGCAAAAAGATAATTAAAAAATGAACTTTTCCATGTAGTCTGAAGTAAGAAAATTCTACTTCTTGTATCCTGCTTTTACATTTTGTTTTAATTGTCGTCTACCCCTCTGTCAACGCATATCTTTCGTTCCAAAGAGATTTCTCTCAGTGATGGTGTTTGTAGTCTAAGTTTTGAAAGAGAGGATGAGTAAATTGCATATGCTTTCAGCAAGTAGATACTCACTGATTTGCACCTGTGTAGATGTAACTCTATCAAAATTTGCATTAATTTTCTAGGAAATCTGTTGATATGCAAAGAGCTGCTGAAGCGTTTGTTGCTTTATTTGATTAAGTAGCAGTACTTGAAAAGCAGATGGTATATTCAAATTGATCACAAAATGACATGCATCGTCAGCATCTCCAATAATTTGTTAGATACACAAAATTCAAGAATTTCACATTTACCCTGATTTGTAGTTGATCCTGCTTTGAGCAGGAGATTGGACTGGATGACATCCTGAGATTCCCTTCAACTTTGAGTTATCCCGTGGTCCTATTTTCAGACTTAATCTGACTCTGAAATAAAAGTAGTTTCTGATTATTCTAATTAGTTTATTGTCTTTAAGCTATTTATATAGCAAAGTTCTCTGATGTCTTATTCAAATGTTTCTATTTTGTGTCTGCATTTCAAACTAGCGTGAAAAGTGTTTATTTCCAGTGACATCACCTTTTTTCAGGCCCCTCATTTTTAAGCTCTAATTATACTCCCCAGGCATAGCTGTCGTAATATCTATCCAAAAGTATGGAACTTGGTAAGCTTAAGCAATCAAAAGAAGCTGAGTTTGAGGAGTTTATGAAACAGCCCAGGGTAGGTGAATGAAGTTTCTGGGGATATTTTGCTTGTTTGCAATCCATAAACTTGTTCTCCTGCCTTAACTAGTTACAATCAAGAAAGTAGTACTGGAAAAAAAATTAAGCCTTATATAGATGCATTTGCTTTATATTTTTGCCTTTTCACAGGACATTCGTAAATGGTTCTGCTGTCATGTGTCCTATCCAGCTACATCATGGAGACAGAATACTGTGGGGAAACAACCACTTCTTCAGGTATGAAAGATATTAAAGAAATTGTAAGTTTGCGCCAGCTTTGTTTTATCTTAAGGTATAAGGAAAGATGACAGTGGAGCATTCAGGCTGCAGGAGGCGGCGATTTGTTTTTCATTGGGATTATAAAGGCCATGCTGATGTTTGGCTGTTCTTGAATGCTAGATGTCGTAGCAACTGTGCGTGATTTTAGTTTCAGAGCAGCAGGTTGACTTAACTTCTTGTATTTTCAAGGGACTGTAACCTTGCTGCTGAGGACCTTGCTGTTGTTATCAGTACTATTATCTCACTGAAGAGATTTAATTTTTGAGGTAGTAACTTTAATGTGGTTTGGTACCATGTTATTATTAAGTTCCACGCTTCCACAGTGAAAATATTACACCCAAGCTTTGACTTGGATAGGTTGCCTTCTGGATTTTGCAGCTAAGGTGTTAGATTTTTGACCTACGTTATACAGTGATCTGGATCTTAAAAGGGCACTGTGTTCTCTGTTCCCTGCGATTCCAGCTCCAGCCATACCTGACACCTTCCTGTATCAGACAGAATCACTGGCAGAAGTTTTCTGTGAAAGACTGTATTCTCGAAACCAGCTGTGTCTGGTCTGAAATACCTTAAAGATTTAAATGATCATCTAAAACTTAACTGTTTTCTTTTACGCTTGAAAGAAGAATCCGCATAAAAAGTGGGATATAATTTCATTATTGCCTCTAAATTATTTGGATATGGGACGACTGAAAAAATTCATCGTTATCTAAACGATATGATTAGTAATATCAGGTACTCTCTATTATTAGAGTGTAGAACGGATTCGTTAGTTCGCCTTGAACTGCCCTGTTGACCCTGAGGAAAACGACACTCACAGGAGATCAACGAATTTTGAAAGGGAAAAATCTACCGATTTGGATAATCTACTTAATTTTAATAATCTCGGAAAGCAACCCTTTGTTTTGAAGTTGAGCAATTAATAGTTCTTTAAAAATTTGCCTCTTATTTAAAGGTTGAATTTGCCAAAGAAGAAGAAGAAGGCAGATCATGAGGATGAAGAGCGAGACAACTCTATGAAATGCAGTAATAGTGTGGAGCAGCTGGACATAGATGGAGACAATTCCAGTGAAGTGTCTAGTGAGATTAACTTCAGCTACGAGTATGCCCAGATGGAAGTCACTATGAAGGCACTTGGTAGTAATGGTAAGAAGCAACAGAAATTATTGGAAATAGGTACAGAATATGAGGTTACGTCTTCAGGGACTCTTAACCACAGACGACTTCTCTTGTAACTTCCTACTGGAGAATTTTTCTTGTGAATGACTCATCATAGCCATTTTAGCACTTGAGGGGAAAAAAAAAACCACCACAGAATGTTTTGTTTGGCAGTTCTTGTTGAGGAAAAAGCCAAAACTGGAGTATTGGTGGGACTGCAGCCTCAAATCAAAGTGTTTTCACTTTGTTGTTTATTTTTCTTGTGTTATGTCTCACTCGAGTATTAACTGTAGTGATTTCTATCTCTGAAACCGTGTTCCTTAGTTTTTGTGGTCTTATGTAGCTGTCCCAGAATGGCATTATTTTGCGAAACGGGAGGAAGTTTTTTTTCAGCTTGGTCTTTCCCTTTTCTCAATTCTCTTAAATCATCCATCCAGTCTGTTCTGTAGATGTTTATTTTACTCCACAGTTCAGCAGCATTCTTTTAATATGCATTACAGCAAAAATACAATCTCTTCCCCCTTTTATATGCTAACTATGTTTACTCTCTGGGATGTTCTTCACCTTGGATTTCAGTGGCTACTGCAGTCCCTAATGTGGATAACTGCAGATATAGAATGGGGAAGGAAAGTACCAAATCTTAGTAATTTGTGCCTTGCTCAAGGTCATACCAGCATATCTGTAGCAGAAGATGGGAAAGATCTCATATTTCCAAGTCCGTTGTCTCTGCCCCATATTCATTACATGATTGTTTCCATTTAATTTTATGGTTACCAGGTATTTGACCCCCAGAAGTACTAGCTTCTTTGTTTTCAACATCTGCTTAGATCCAATGCAGTCAATCTTGCAAAGCCTGGAGCAGCAACACGAAGAGGAGAAGAGATCTGCGCTTGAACGACAGAGACTGATGTATGAACATGAACTGGAGCAATTGCGAAGGCGATTGTCGCCAGAGAAGCAACATTTCCGCAGCATGGACAGGTTCTCCTTCCATTCTCCCAGCGCTCAGCAGCGCTTACGGCAGTGGGCGGAGGAGAGGTGGGTAATCAAATCTGACCATCAGGAGTGTTCATTTAAAGTTCTTCAGTGCTAGTGAATTTTGCAAGATTTGAATTGCATTGCACACCTCTGCCAGATTTTTGAGAGGACTCCTGCGGGGGGTTGGGGAGGATAGAACGAAAATATTAGTGTAAGAAAAACCAGACCTATAATGCTAGAAAAGATGAGAAAGAATGAGTGCCTGCTTTGTCGTTCAGGAGAAACTATCCTGATTGGTAACAAATTTGACTAAAAAGGATGTGGTTGGAAGAAATTTTGGGACTCCTATATGAGTTTGTTCTTCTGTGGGTCATGACTCAGCTGCTGGAAGGTTATTTTTTCCTCTTGATTCACATCCATCTGTCTGACCTGGACAGGTCCTGGCAACCAGAATAGTGCAGAAAGAAAAGGGAGTAAGAGGATGGTACAAAGAATTTTGATCCAGAGCATTGCAAAAAGTGTTTAATAATCACAGAGGGGCCACTGGCCTCTTCGCCTCTTCCTAGGCAATTGCACTGAGGTTATTTACTTCAGCCTCTAAATCATCTTTTCCAGTATTACTGTCAAAAGGAGCAGCTGCAGGAGGAAGATGAAACGTACCCTAAAATAATGAGTATGGTAAAGACATTGTAATGAGAAAATAGAAATCTAATTTATATGGCTAGAGAAGCAACTTTTGAAATAGAAAATATTTGAGACAGTCTAACAAGTTGTTAGCTGTGTGTCTGGAATATTCTGTGGTACCCGACTGCTGTGCTGCACAGTTGGTGCTCTCTCACACTTGCCAGGAAGGCCAGTGAGCAAGTGGGTCATGGTGTCTGAATAAATCTTCCTCTGTAAGGTGGAACATCCACATCTGTGGTGGGGAAACTCTGGAATAAGCCACACAAGAGCTGACTGTTCAGCAGATGCATGGAGAAGTCTCTGAAGCCAGCAGTATGCTAATGTTCATACTGCTAAATTAATGCAAATAATCTTTTTTTTTTTCCTGCCCAGAAGAAATGTAATTTAATTTGCCTGATTTTCGTGTTAAAAAGCTGAAGGTTAAGACTCCTTCATGTCAAATGATCGTTTGTTTTGCACTCAGTTTTAATACTTGAATGTGCCATGGTTTTTTCTGTCTCACCCTCCAAATCCCCTTCTTTTAGAGAAGAAATGTTGACCCACAGCCTGAGAAAGCTGCGAGAGCAGATTGTTAAAGCCAATCTGTATGTGAGAGAAGCCAGTTTTATCGGAGAGGAATTGGATAAGAGGACAGAGTATAAAGTTACCCTCCAGATCCCAGCTTCAAGCCTTAACGCTAACAGTAAGGTAAGGTAGCCCTAATGGAACTAAATCATTGTTCAGTAAGTTTGTCCCTCAGCATTCATATTTGTCGTATTCTGACTTTAATGGTGTAGATGGTTTGCCTGTCTGTTCGTGTGCATTAAACAAGGCTCTGTTAGTGCATGCTACATCCTTGTCTTATTTTGTTACCGTGAAAGTCTTATAATGTGCTAGCTGACTGATAAATGTTATGGGGCAAGACCTTTCCACTGGTGAAGTTCACACTTGCTTCTGTTGCAGAATGATAAAATCTGTGCAGGTTAGGTAACCTCTATTTCAAGTATTTACCATCACCTTGTGGACATTTGGCTTTACATCATCCCAGTGAGTTGAGAGAATGCTGTCATCCTCATTGTTGTTCAGCCTGGAGAAGAGGAGGATGAGGGGAGACCTTATTGCTCTCTGCAACTGCCTGAAAGGAGGTTGTAGCGAGTTGGGGGTTGGTCTCTTTTCCCCAGTAACAAGTGATAGGACGAGAGGAAACGGCCTCAAGCTGCGCCAGGGGAGGTTTAGGTTGGATATTAGAAAAAAATTCTTCCCCCAAAGGGCTGTCAGGCCCTGGCCCAGGCTGCCCAGGGCAGGGGCTGAGTCCCCATCCCTGGGGGGATTTAAAAGCCGGGGAGATGTGGTGCTCGGGGACATGGTTTAGTGGTGGCCTTGGCAGTGCTGGGTTAACGGTTGGACCCGATGATCTTAAGGGTCTTTTTAGAGGGAGGAACTGGAGCAGAGAGGATTTGGATGATTTGTTCCAGGCATCTTAGAAATTTTGGAAGGAGGAAACTGAACCCAGCTATGTCTCACACTGGCTACCTAAACTGGCTTATTATTTCTGTTATTGAGGTCAGCTCAATATTTGGTGATAGTCAGGCTGTCATTAGTACAGTAGATATAGTAGTTCCAGGATTAGAATCTTTATCAATTGCTTTAGAGCAATTTGCAGTCTTCTGGCACATCTAGAAACAGGATGGTGAGGAGGGTTAAGTGTCTGCACTAGTTGAAAGTTGCAGACAGTAGTAATCTTAGCTGGAACTCCAGGCCTGCTGTAACTTGAGGATATTTGTGAAATGCTCAAATGTTCCTATTTGTAACACTTATGTAAGGTGAAAATCCACGGGAACTAGTGCCTGTAGCTGTGATTAGACTTTCCAGTTAAACTGAACACGAATATACTGTGACAGCCGCACTCAGAGCCTGTCACACTTGAATTTGGTTGCTCAAGCTAGGATAAAAAAAGAACAAAATCCAAACTTTTCCCAAAGATGTTCTCAGTTTTTTATTGTTTTAAACTATTTTTTCATTGTTGTGACATGAATTCCTTATTGATAGCTCTTTAATTGTTTTGCAGAGAGGCGCAATTCTCAGTGAGCCTGCTATTCAGGTGAGAAGGAAAGGGAAAGGCAAACAGATTTGGTCCCTGGAAAAGCTGGAGAATCGCCTGGTAGATATGAGGGATCTTTACCAGGAATGGAAGGACTGTGAGGAAGACAACACAGTAAGTAAAAATTACTCCAGTGTTGTGCTGATAGAATTACATCCCTGTTAAATTTTTTGTTTAAGTAGATGTGAGAAAATCTTTGGGAGGAGGTAGGGGATATGCAGAGATAAGTTTTCCTGAGCTTTTGCTTTTCCTAGTACTAAAGCGAATCTTCAGCATTTCATCAACCCTTATCTTGTCACTTTGATGCTGGTTTGCATGCATAGTTTGGTGACCAAACTGAGCATGTAACAGGAAGCAGTAAGTAAACGCAACAGGAGTTGATTTTCAGGCTGACTTCTCTGGATCTGACAACGTTAAAGAGAACTTGCTGAGGACAGGCCTTGTGCTCAGTCCAAAGTAAAATTCAAGTTTCCATTCTTCTTGTGATCTAGTCTAGCCTCTTGCTTGAGTCCTTTTTCCTTTTGTTAGGCTGGTTGCGCAACACTTTGAAAACTGTTTCATGAAAAGTTTGTTTTTCTTACATTATTCTGAATTTGATTGAAGGTGATGAGGGCTTACTTCAGGCGAGCTGATCCATTCTACGATGAGCAGGAAAACCACAGCCTTATCGGAGTAGCCAATGTTTTTCTTGAGTGCCTGTTCTATGATGTGAAGCTACAATATGCTGTTCCAATCATCAATCAGAAGGGAGAGGTTTGTCATTCTTCTATAATCTATCCTTACTCAACTGTTTAATTACAGCCTGTGGATCTTATTACCAGTATATAGTAGATATTTTCCAGTTTCATGTGCACAAGCTCTTTGCTAACAATTTGGAATTATGCAAATCCCATAATAACTTACTAGAGTTGTTTAGACAGCTCTGAATTCCAGCATAGTGACTGTGAAAGGAGAAAGCTTTGTGAGCACCTTTCTGAGCGAAGCAGCCCAAAATAAATACTTAGCAGAACGCATATGAGCTATAGCTCCAGTGGCTTTCACTGACTGCCATCGAGAATAGGCTCGTAAATGTATACTGTAAGAACAAAGGCAGCTAGAGCATACCAGGCAACATTCTCTGTGCTCTGTATCACACGTACGCTTTGCAGACTCTCTAGAGACTGCTGCGAAGGTGAGTGAGAATGCAGTGTGCTGTTCCCAAAGTCACTCTAGTGGCTGATTTCTTTCTGTTTTTACAACAGAGGCTCTTCGGTTCTTGCTCCAAAGAATTCTTCCTCTGGTGCAACAAATGCACAGTGCAAAACAATAAAAAGAAATAAAATGTTGTCTGCTTACAGACTGGAAACAGCAGGAGTTGTAGTTACCTGAAAGGGGATGAACCTGTCACTGTTTTCTGGTGCACAATAATTCTTAATCCTTTCTTATCAGGTATCAGGTCGTCTCCACGTTGAAGTTGTTCGAGTGAGTGGAGAGATAGACGACAGGTTGGTTGGAGGCGAGGATAGTCCAGACTATTCAAATGAAAATGACGTTCAGGAGAGAAAACTCGTCTGCCAGGTGAGTTCCAGATATATCCCAACCTCTGAGCAACCTTCTCTCTTTCCATCCCAAGTCTTAAAATAAAGAAGTCCCTGATGCATTGGCTTCTGGACGTTAGATGTCTCTTTGTAACCTCGTGTGCCGTGTTTGCTTCCACTATTCAGCTACGCAGGCAGGTTCCCGTCTTTAGGCTCATTGACTCTATGAAACTGTGTTGATGTTTCAGAATTTAAAAAAAAAAGAAAAAAAAGTGCAAATAATTTAGCTGTACCTAATCATTCAGTTGTATGTACAGAGTTTAATACTTTTGCTGTATGTGTTTTCATGGCCTTGTGTAATTTCCTGGTGCCCAGCGTTTGTCTTGAAGTGCTGCCCTGTGGTCTTCTCTCACAATATTTTCTTTCTTGAGTGGCTGAAATAAGACAAGCGAACTAGATGGCTTTTGTTCCTTTCAATCTCCATGATTTTTTTTTTAAAGTCTGCAAGGTATTCATTAAACTATATTTATATGTATATGTATACAATCTTACCCCAGGCAGTTTATTGTAATCTTGGAAGCCATGGAAGATCTGTGCACTAGGATTGGAGCTACAATATCTAATTCAAAAGGAGTCACAGAATCTGATAAATTCCCGTGGTTCTGTGAATGATTCTTTCTCAATATTTCTCTCTCTAAATATTCAATATTTTGTGAAATATATGCAGGTGTGTTTATTATTTCTAATAATAAAAGGAAAGTTAGCAGAAAGCATTTACTAGCAGTTCTGTGCTGTATTAAAATGCAAGATAGGCCAAGCTACAGATAAGAAAAGAGGGAGGCAAAAAGCCCTGGAGGGAGTGGAACCCCAACTTTTGCTAGCCCAATGAACAATTTGGGGGCAACTGTGCTCTTTTTCACCTTTTATCCTGTCCCATGGAGCTCCACGTGCTTGCAAGCGGTATGGGACCGTGTTGCAGGAAACCCCCTGTCCTGAGGATCCTGAGTGGTGCCTTACCATAGGAGTCTAACTCATCAGAACTTAATTTGACAAATGGCGAATAGAAGTTTATTAAATAATATGGTTAATATGATGGCTTTGTCTAGACAAGAAGGTGCATTCAAAACATTTTCTTTCTATTTCTCCTTGATTTTTTTTCGAAAAGGGGACAGGCTACTTTTGTATTGTTGGGGGTGTTACTGTATAGTTTCTAGCATCAAAGAATAAGGACAAGGATTTTGCAGAATAAAGGACCCAGATTTTTGTAGAAGTATGAAATTTTTATTGTATTGCTCTTCAGTTACAAAGTTTTTGGTGCATCTCACCATTAAAAATGAAAAAAATGTTTTGGTGCGTTTGTAAAATTCATACCTTTACCTTTCACTCCCAAGAAATGTGCCTGGTGACATCTAGTGGCAATGCTCAGCTGATGCACTCAAAATATTGTCTCCAATGTACATCGATGCAGAAATTCGTATTTTGTAAAGTTTTTTGGTTTGCTCCTTCTTTTTTTTGTTACCCTTTGCAGTGGAACAGAATAACGTTGTTCTAACAGAAGACATTTTTAATTCTATGCCTAATGAATAAGTGATTTTCCTTCGTTTCTCATCTCTTTTTCTAGATTAAAATACTTCAGGCGACAGGTTTGCCACAGCACCTCTCCAACTTTGTGTTCTGCAAATATACGTTCTGGGATCAACTGGAGCCAGTTACTGTTGCACCTGAGATGGATCCTTCCTTATCTTCCATCAGCAAGGAGCCACGGTGCATGGTTGTCTTCGATCACTGCAATGTAATTTTTTTTCTCTTTTATTAGTGAAACTGTAGGCAGAAAAAAACAGGTTTATGCTTGCACAGCAGTTGCCTCTTTGCTCTCATTATTGTACTTTGTGAGACTGATAGCCTAATTCCATTTTTAATAAGAACTTGAAACATCTTCAGGGTCCATATAAGTTTGATTACACTACAGTGTTCACTTGTACAAAAGTCACAGAAGGTGAAGAAGTGGATTAATAAGGGAAAGCGATCTGTTCAGCAGAGAGGCTTATGTTGGAGTTTACCCACAGTAAAAATGCCGCTGAGTGTGAATGGAAGAGTGATATCCATCTGAGTACATTTGATGTCCATATCTGAGCTGATCACTCTCCACTCTGATGCAATGGAGAGAAATGTCACAGTCCTGGGAGATGCTGCCTGTTATCCTGATGTAGATGTTGAAGTTAGGTCGTGTATCTTGGAACAGACTATTTCTTCCTAGTGACTTTTGAGCAACTGTCTGAGTGGAGGCACCTTTAATAGAGATACCTCAAGTCAGCTTAGATGAAAGCCAGCCAATCACCTGAGTTCTCATCTTGTTCTTTCTATCGTTTGTCATTACACTGAGCAATTTATTCCACTTATCATTTGTAAAATTGTAAAATAGTTTTGATTTTCTGATTCTGAACATTAGAACATATAATTTTTTTTTTTTTGAACGGTTGGATCAGGACTTGGAACAGCATGCGGTCATTTTTCAGCTCTTTATAGACTTTAATGTTCAACAAATCATGTATCCTTGCCTTGCCTCCTGATTTTACAAACTGAGGTGACAGTTCTTCCTTTCCTCTATCTTGTGTCTTGGGGACCAGGGTGACTTTACTACATGCTTATATGAAAGTCAAGACAGTAAATCTCTAAGCCTAAGTCATTGGGTAGTCACAGTCATCAACCGATTTGTCGTTTACATACAGCAAGTTTCTGTAAATATTTCCGAAGACTTCATGGAACATCTTTATGATGGTGCTTTGGCAATTGAAGTATATGGGCACAAGCAGAGCGGTGACCGCAAAAATCCAGCCCTGTGGGATTTGGGAATAATTCAAGCCAAAACACGCAGCCTTCGTGACAGGTAAATATGGAAAATAGATACTTGGTTGAGAATTTTGGAAAATCATTGTCTGAGGTGCCCAATTTTGAAGCAGGTTTGGGATAAGTAGTCAAATTTTCAACTGAAGACAACTGAACATGTGTTTGAGACTGTATCTATTAGACTATTATAAATAGACTCTGCCTATTGGAAAAACACCATGCAATGTGTCAGTAGGCTTTAAAAAAGTGAAGGAGTAGAAATGCCCATCTCTGTTTCAAATTAAAAGTGGCAAAAATTGAAGGACTTTAAAGTCCTTTTTACTTAGGCAAATTCAAGTGCATAAGTCGTGTTTTACAAAAGAGCAAGCTGATTCCTTTATATTGTTTTGCTAGTCTGCGCCAGAAAGAGCTATCAAGTCTAAAACAGCAAGATGGTTGTTCTGACGGTACGCTGATATATTTATTCAAGGTCTGACTCCGGTTCATTCTTGGCCATGAAATGTCGTCACTGTAGTGCTTCCATTGGAAGAGCTATATTGCTAATTAGTGCAATTGGAGTAAATATGCAACAGTATGGTAATTTAGACTGAAGGGGGCTGCTTTTTTGCTGGCAGCCGTTTGTTGTCCTCAAAGTAAATGTAGTAGCATTTTCTTAAATGTAAGTTGTTTTGCCTCTCCAATTAGAAGGCAGCTCTGCACCTTAGTTTATCGGCAGTTATTTCTCTTTTTACTTCCAGCCTAAGCTGGTGTTGAGTATGATGACTATTAAGCTGTATATAGGGAAGTTTAAAAGAAAAGTCAGAAAAATATGGCAAAAAGAAGATGGAAAAAGGATGTTATAAAATAGTGAGTTACATTTGGTAGCTGAGTAGTAAGTACCTCCTTCCTTTTTAATTTTGAGGCATGATGAAAGTGGCCATTTCTTATGTAAGCTCTGAGAAGAATTGGAGAGAAGGCAGTAGCATGAAGAAGTTCAGTGCCCTGAATCTCGAATGTCTTGTGAGACAACATCATATTTCATTCTGCTGTCTTCTGTGTGAATCTGATTGCACAGACAGCACTGGGCTTCTGTGGCAGTATTTGAGACCAGAGCTTAAATGTTAGAACCTAGCGGAATTGGTTTTCATATTGGAATAAAGACAAGGCTTATTTTTGGTGTTTGACTAAAATAGTTGTCAGTAAAATTTATAAGCGTTGCACAACTAGTAACCCTATATAGTCACAAATGGTGCATCTATTGAATTGTTCTTGGCTTCTTCAATCTGCAGTCTGAACTAATGCTTTGGTTTTTTATTTCTTTTGGAAAAACAAAACAAAAAACCCCCAGCATTTGACATGTTTTGCAGGTGGAGTGAAGTAACCCGAAAAGTAGAACTCTGGGTTCAAATTCTAGAGCTGAATGAGAATGGGGAATACTGCCCAGTTGAGGTGACTCCTGCCAAGGACGTGTGCACAGGAGGCATCTTCCAGCTCAGACAGGTAAGGTGGCATGTGCAGGATTTCAGCTGTGAAAAAAAGCCTGCAGAAAGCTAAGAAGCTTCTATTTGGTACGGTAAAGGGACGGTGTCCAAGGAACCGTCAAGCTTAGACACAAAATGTGATATTGTGTAAAACAGACAGAAAGTGGAAGAAAGTGGAGTCCCACTGTGTTTTGTGAAACTGCCAGTGTGCATAAACTCAGATGTAAAGGTGATCAAAGGCTTACCTGTAATCTTTTTGCTATGTTCTGTCGCTGTTCTGTGATAGCACCTGGTAGACAGGACATCAGTCTTGACTGAACTTAGTTATTTTTTAAAGAGGTCCAGAGTTCCCCTTTATTTGATCCTTCCAGCCAACCACTCCTTTGTTCTTTGAATTCTACATGCATTAAATTGTTAATGCTTAACTGAGCAGTTAACATTTTTAAGTGATAAGCTATTGCCCAGAGAACACTAGGAATTCGTTAAAGTTAGATACTGGCTGTACCTCTGAACTCCCCAACTCCTTTGATTTCTTTTTTTTTTTAAATTTCTTAATGTTTTTTCCCCTACGGGTTTTACTAAAGAACAGTTAACTTCGCTGCATTGATAGCATCAGTGGGTAAGAATTTTCAGCCAAGGAGACCAGAGTCAGGAGAAGTTCACTGAAATTCCAGTAGCTTACCAAATTAGACTATTTTCTTTCCACTTTTGTAGGTGGGGAAGAGATCCTATTTTCCACCTTCAGAAGTATTAAAAATAAAATCCTATAAGTGTATGTTTTGAAAACCCTCCAGAAAAGTAAATTGAGGAGTTGCTGAATGCTTAACCTTTTTTTCTGTAAATACATAAATCCTGTAAACATAAATCCTTGCAACAGAAGAGGTATCTCTTGAACACTGGGTCATTGAGATTCCAGTACTCACCACTTTGTTCTTCATAAAATACAAATATAATGTTACTTGCAAGTGACTGCCAGTAGAGGTCTCTCTGTGATTAAGCTTTCAGCATTTTATAGTGGTTTTTTTTTTCCAAGCGTTTCAAATTGTTCTTTTGGGCAGGGGCAATCTCGACGAATTCAGGTTGAAGTGAGATCTGTACAGGAATCTGGGACCTTGCCACTGATGGAGGAATCAATATTATCTGTTGGAATTGGCTGTGTTCAAATAAAACATATCAAGTCACAAAAAGGACCTGAAAATTATCCGGTAAGAGTCTGAATATTTCCCGTCAGCTATGGATATTTCCAAGACATGTAAAAGCATAAAGTGATGTCTTGAGTTTGTTGCAGTTGGAGGCAACTCCATTTGTTTCAAGTTTTAGTTTGGTTTGGGAGGATATTTTTTTGAACCTACTTAAACTTATAAAGCAATGTCAAGAAGAATTGTCAGAATGGCTTTGACAGTGGTTTTAGGGATTATTCAGGATAGTTTAACTCTGTCTTTCAGAAAGTGTTGTGGATGATCTTCCTCTTAATCAAAAATCATTTTCCATGGCAAAAAATAATATTTGTAAGACTACCTTCTGTCTCTCTTCTGGTTTTGTTCGTTTTTGGTTTTTTGTTTTGTTTCCCCTATCCTTAAAAACAGGACAGCCTTAACACACCATTCAAAGGAGAAAAAAAATGGCCAAAGTTTCTAGAATTCATTAGGAGTTTGTCCAGTAGATTTTACTTCAAATATTAGATATGGTAGCAATTCTAAGTAAGAATTCAAATTAAAATAAATCAATAGAATATATATTCAAACAGTGTTGAGTTATGAATGTTAGAATTATATGAGCCAGTTGTTGGCCCATAGTATATGTTGGCCAGTTGTTTGACACCCTCAGAAGCACTGCATCTCATCTTAAACGGCAAGTATATTGATGTGTTTTTAGGGATTGTCTTCTTGCAATGCTTCTATCACTTTCTAGTACAGTTTGACTTTTTCCCTCAACAGCTGAATTAAAATTTAGTCACTCCTCGGAGTTAGCAGGCCAAAATCTGGTGCAACAGAAGAAGCAAGTCTCTGGACTTCCTTGATTAGCTGCCCTGCTTGAGACAAGGCCAGCTAAATGTCAAGTAGTTTTTGGGACGTCTCCCAGCTTTCCATAATGTTTACCCTGTTGACGGAGTATGATTCAATGCGTGTCTGCTTCTCTTTTTTGCTTAATCAGTATTGTTTTTCCCTCTAATATCTGAAGTAGTTGGGTTTTTCTCGTCTCCTAACCTTAGCAATCCTTTGCCCCTTCTGTCAGGAGCACAAAAAGGGAAATTTTTTCCACCTTTGCAGAAATCTCACTTTTCAACAGCATCCTAGGCAGATTATTGCTTTTATGGCCCGTTATGCTTCTGCTAGTGACTCTGCCTGCAGGCTCTCTAGCTGCCTTTCCATCACAGCAGTCCCCGATACCCATGTCCTATAGAGCAAGTAAACTGTTGCTTCTCTCCTACTCCTGAACGGAGCAAGTTTCTTAAGCGATTCTTCTCTCTTGAGACAGAATGGCTGATTCTTGCAATTTTTACTTGAAAGCTGTTAAACACCCACAACATACACATGCCCCTTTTAGCCTGTTTCATAAGGGGACACGTCCCAGCGGAGCATTCTGTTTGTCTCACCCTGTTTCTTCCTCAGAGAATTTCTAATCTGTTGACCAGTTTCAGCCATATCTGACAGAGCTGGTAATCCACAAAACAGTACGTTCTGTCAAGGAGAAAGACTTCAGCTCCGCTTGAGAGAGAGACTAGTGAGTTGTATCTGAGACTGATAACCCATGTGGGAAAGGGCTGTGGAAAACCATGTTTTATTAGTCCCGCGGCTTACAATAGCCTTCTGATTTGAACACCTCGATCTTTAGTCCCTTTATTAGCATTTCTCTATCTCAAGTAAATTACTATCTGTGGAATGTGAAAGATTCTCTAAAGACGTTGAACTAAGAAAATGCCTCTTCTATATGGCTTTTTAATTTTAGCTTAGCTAAGATTTTTTGCTTTCATTACCAAGATGCAAAAGTAGACTCCGGTGGCTTGTTATTACTTAAATAGGTAAGTAATAACTCAGTGAGGATTGGAATCCTTGTTGCTTTTTCCATTCACGGTGCAGGAGAGGCAGTTCTGCTTACACTCGTTGCAAGTGGCTCTGCTTGTGGTGAATGTTGAGAATGAAAAGTGGTGTCTTCCATCAGAACAGAATGGAAATCAAAATGTCGCGTGTCTACATTGCAAGTCCTGATGCGGCAGAGTTATTCTAATTCCCTAACAATTGGCTTAGATGTTTACGATTTTTCTCCTCTAAATGCAACAGCAAGCTTACCTCGAATCCTTTACGCCAGACTTTGATTTTTCAGTGCTTGCTGTAACGTTCGTACTTAACTCCTACACGCAAACCAGCACGTTTTTCTTTGCTGTCCAGGATCAACAGGTTTCAAGTTGTTTCACTGTAACTTCTATTTCTCTCTTAAGGCAATTTAAGTATTCCACTTGCTTCCAATTATGAAGAATTTGAATAGCTATATTTCTGTGAATTTTTTCCATTATAATTGTTGGATTGTTCTAGTTTGTGTTTAGATGAGCTGATAGCAGCACATCTTTGGGATGTCTATGTGTTTTCATTCTACGGTGATACCGTTGCTAAGCTCAGGCTTTTATGTGAGACTGCTAATAGTGCTTAAAATAGTTACCCCTTTTGCATTCCGTGTGTTTCCTGTCATCAAAAAAAGTTAATGATGTGGTTTTGCATGTTTTGCCCTAGGAAGAAGAGGATGAAATGGACAGTTATCAGGTAAAAATTTTGAATTCTCTCTTTTTACTGACTCAGACGTTTTCAGATTAAAAGATGTCAGAGTAGGAACAGTGTGTTATCTTTGCTGTACTGGTTTGACATATATATATGTCTTCTGAAGAGACTAAAAGCTTAAGAATTGCATAGATTGTTATGCTACAAAGCCACGTGGTGGATTAGAGAGGTGGAAGGGAAAGAACAAGATGACTTAACATGTATTTTCAAAACAAGATCCAATTGCTTTTCGCCTTTGGTGTTTTGGGGGAAGGAGTCCTCCTCCTTGACAAACTATGGCTAGATTGAGGTTGTTCTCATTAAGAACAAGAATAGGCATGGTCGTGTTGAAGATGCAGTCAAAATACTTCATGCCATTTCATATTATGAATGTGCTATGTGTATGAGAGCTGGAGTGTACTGCAGAGTAATCCACCCTTGAGCAAGTAAGGGGGATTCTGTTCCTGGAGCCCTAAGACAGCAGTGATAAACCTACTGAAATCAGCACGCTATTTTTTTTTTTTCAATGTATATATTATCACAGTAACGTGAGCCTTAAAGGGGAATTGATAGGTACAGTATCTGTGATATATTTTTCACCTTCTTCTGAATAACTTTAACAAAAGCACATTATCATCATTATAGATCTCAACTTTGTATAACGCGAGCAACCAGAGATTTAGGTTTAATGCTCTCTGACAGATTCTGGCATACTTGTAGGGGTCTACGGGTGAGTAATACAACTGTAGTTTATAGTCTTGCATCCACCCATTTTTCTTGACAAAGTATCTGTTATAGTTTGATGTGGAATGAATCTGAACTGCTGTTGCCATAAAAGAGGCTTGCCTGAAGGCATCCCAGAGCTGATAGCTCATCTTTGTGGGACCCAACATGCTGCGTGTAGAGTATCACTCATCATTTCTGAGCATTTGTACACCAGAGACAAATGAACTGAATGTTCTTAAGGATACCGAGGTGTGTTTTTTGAAGGACATCAGCACTTAAGAAAAAATATTTTAAAAGGATCAGTTGCAAATACCATAACTATTGGGGATTATGAAGGGATTGAGAGCAGCCCTGAGGAGAAGGACTTGAGGGTACTGGGGGATGAAAAGCTGGCCACAAGCTGGCAATGCTCTCTCCCAGCCCAGAAAGCCAAGCGTCTCCTGGGCTGCATCCCCACAGCGGGGCGAGGGAGGGGATTCTGCCCCTCTGCTCCACTCTGGGGAGACCCCCCTGGAGCCCTGCCTCCAGCTCGGGGGTCCTCAGCAAGGGAAGGAGATGGAGCTGTTGGAGCGGGGCCAGAGGAGGCCACCAAAATGGTCAGAGGCTGGAGCAGCTCTGCTGGGGAGAAAGGCTGAGAGAGCTGGGGGGGTTCAGCCTGGAGAGGAGGAGGCTGCGGGCAGAGCTGATTGCGGCCTCTCAGTGCTTAACGGGGGCCGACAAGAAAGGTGGGGACAGGCTTTTTAGCAGGGCCTGCAGTGACAGGACAAGGGGGAATGGTTTTAAACGGAAAGAGGGGAGATTCAGACTAGATAGAAGGAAGAAATTTTTTACAATGAGGGTGGTGAGGCACTGGCCCAGGTTGCCCAGAGCGGTGGGAGATGCCCTATCCCTGGACACATTCAAGGCCAGGTTGGACGGGGCTCTGAGCACCCTGGTCTGGTTGAAGATGTCCCTGCCAATTGCAGGGGGGATGCACTAGATGATCTTTAAAGGTCCATTCCATCCCAAAGCATTCTATGATCCTATGATTAACTAGGGACAGTGCCACCATGCGGGATGGGGATGGATTCCTAATATAAGGCTGCTAAACACTGAATGTGAATGGTGAGTCATGGATAAGGACTGGGGTTTCCAGCTTTGCCACAAGGTAGTGGTTAGTGAGTTTTAGACTAGTTTGGAGTCAAAGATGTATAAAGTGAAACTTGTTCATCTGGGTAGTACAGAATAGCAGCTAGAGAGAGAGATGCCTCAGGCTGGCAAGCAAAAGTACATCAAATAAGCTGTGGAAAGACCTGTGAAGAAAGGCTAAGAGAACTGGCCTTGTTTAGCCTCGAGGAGAAGAAAAGGCTCAGGCGGGATCTTGTCAATGTATGTGAATGGGAAGGGGTAAAGAAGACAGAGCCAGGCTCTTCCCAGTGGCATGCAGCGAAAGGGCAAAAGGCAATGAGTCTCCACTTCACCTACTGTCCTGGGTTAACCCCAGCCAGCAACCAAGCACCACACAGCCGCTCGCTCACCCTACCTCCCCCAGCGGGATGGGGAGAGAATCAGAAGGGCAAAAGTAAGCAAACTCGTGGGTTGAGATAAGAACAGTTTAATAATAACAATAACAATAATAAATTGTAATGAAAACAACAAAAGAGAAAGAGAGGAACAAAACCCAGGAAAAAAAAGTGATGCAACCGCTTACCACCCGCCAACCAACACCCAGCCCGTCTCCAAGCAGTGATCGCTGTCCCCCAGCCAACTCCCCCAGTTTCTATACTGGGCGTGATGCCATACGGTATGGAATAGCCCTTGGGCCAGTCTGGGCCAGCTGTCCTGGCTGTGCCCCCTCCCAGCTCCTCGTGCACCAGACAGAGCATGGGAAGCTGAAAAGTCCTTGACCAGTATAAACACTGCTTAGCAGCAACTAAAATGTCAGTGTGTTATCAACATTATTCTCATACTAAATCCAAAACACAGCACTATACCAGCTACCAGGAAGAAAATTAACTCTATCCCAGCCAAAACCAGGACACATACAAAATATTTTTTATTTTTCCTTACCGGGGTGGTGGTCAGACACTGGAACAGGTTGCCCAGAGAGGTTGTGGAGTTTCCATCCTTGGGGATATTCAGATCCCAACTGGACATAGTCCTGAGCAAGCTGTTGTGGTTGACTCTGCTTTGGGCAGAGAGCAGGGTTGGACCAGGTAGATCTCCAGAGGTCCCTTCCAAGCTCAGCTATTCTGTGTTTAAGTTGTCCTGTGCAAAAGAAAATAGAGAAGAGCAAAGTGATTTCTTGGAGGTCTACTCTGTCTATCTTATCTGCTCCTTGGGTACAGGATGAGCAGAAGGGTTGAGGAAATGTGTAAGCCACAAATAGGAAACATTGGCTTTCCTGGGTCAATATTTAACGGGACTACTTTCCTCTTTCCAGGATAGGGATTTGGAGAGGCTCCGTCGGAAATGGCTGTGTGCCTTAACAAAGCGTCAGGAGTATCTTGATCAGCAATTGCAAAAACTCGTTGGGAAGCCTGGTAAGCAAAATACTTCTAAAGGTAACAATAGTGATAGGTTGAGAGACATGTGCATGCGCTTTTTACCTTAATATATTGTAAGATTTAGAAAAGAAGTTAATGGAGAGTTGAATCTCTGAACTCAGCAGTACTTTGCTTTCAGTGAAACTAAAGTTAGAGAAGCCTATATAAAATTGTTCGTTGTTGTTGTATACTGTGTGTTTCCTCTTTGCTGAATTTCTGAGCAGAATGGATTTTATTCTGTTATGATGGTATAAGATCATCGGACACATGATAAAAGCAGTGAGTAAGAAATGCTCTCTGTTGTCCTGACTGACATCCTGCTTCTCCAGATAAAACAGAAGATGATGCAGATCGGGAGGCGCAGCTTTTAGAGATGAGGCTAACGCTCACTGAAGAAAGGAATGCTGTAATGGTTCCTTCTGCTGGCAGTGGGATCCCTGGAGCTCCAGCAGAGTGGTATGAACATACATTGCCATATGCAAGAACGACTGTAAAAATGATGCATGGCCTGCTTCAGGCTTGGATTGTTGACATTTTTTGCTTTCTTTAGTCTGGCCTCTATACACTGTATGAGCAAAGTTGTTAAAATTAGGCCTCTTGCTTAAATTATTTTATTAGGCTGTGTATCTGAAATCCAGAAATGCTATTTAGTAAACGATACTATTATTGATCAGAGTGTAATTATGACCTTCTGAAAAAAGGGAATCAATATTTATTACTACCGCACTTACCATTTAAAAAAATTAGCTAATATGTTAATTACCTAGTTCATTCACTTAAAAGGCTGCTCCGTCATAATAAAACTGCATCTACAGGAGCATTTTGTTGCGCTCCTGGTTTGAGTGCAAATTCTGCTTAGTCAGCAAGCGTTCCATGTAATTTTCTGAACATTAAAAATAGTAAACTACACTAGACTGAGATTGCCGTACTGTAGCAGCTGAGGTGCTTACTGGAGGTAAGGAAGCAAGGTTGTTCCACTTCAAACCTCTTGGCTTCAGTTGCTTTCAACTCTCAGAATTTTTTTTCTGAGCAAACCTCTAACTATTTATTGATGAAATTGGGTGTCATGGAGTTTTAAGCTGAAGTTTGTTAAAGCTAGTACTTCTGAAACATAAAAATGGCAAACGCGTGTTGGAAACACGTCAACTTCCACATCAAAGTGTCTGACTAGGTTTGAAAACAGTGGAGATGCAGGAGACTTCCTCGAGGAAGAATCTGTTCTGAACACATTTGCACCAGAGGAAATGTTCAGTATGATTCAAGCACCTTATATATGGCATAAGACTCCAGCCTGCTCGTGTTCACCATAAAGTTTATCAAGTCCAAGTTTGTCATGAGATGGCTACAGCCGTTTTTTTACAGCTAAGATGGCAACAAGGAGTCTTAAAGTCCTTTGTGCTTCATATTACATTTTTAGTACCTTATTAATGTGGTGTAGCTTAAAAGGGCTGGGCCATGGAATATTTCATTTTAAAAACAAACAAGGCACCACCTGTGTTACCCCTTCTTCCATGATACGAAAGATGCCTTAAATGGCAGCTATGACTCTTAAATATGTGTGTTTTTCAAGAAAGAGTAATAACTGTGTAGTGTGGCAGCATTAACGTTAGTTTAAAAACTCTGACTCTGGATTTTCTGATTCTCACTCTGCTGTCTTCACTGCCGTCACTAATGCAGGGGGGTTTGCATTTAATAAATGTGTGTGTCAGAGTAAATAAACTTAATTTTGCTATTAGCATTTTAGAAGGAGAAAACATTTCTGAAAGCAGAGGTCAAAGACTGTAATAATTCGAAGAGAGCTGGTATAAAAGAAATACCAATTTAGTTGAGTCTCTTGGAATCTGCAACAGTAAATTAAAATAAAGCTGTTTGCCAAGGTTATCAATGGTCTGGCTTAGAATTGCAGTTGCACTGAACGTAATATGCTGTGGGCTTGTATCATAAGGTACGTGTGCTGGGTAAATCTGCGTTAGTTTAAATGCCGCCATTGTCCCTGTTGTACATTTTAGGACTCCTGTGCCTGGTATGGAAACTCACATTCCTGTTATTTTCCTTGACTTGAATGGTAAGTGGTTCGTAAAATGACAGAGTACTTTGAAACAAACTTTGTACAACCGACGACATTATGGAATTTAAGCAAGCTAATCAAATGAAGAAATGCCTTGAATGGCAGGTAGATTAATTTGAGAGTGCACATTTTTCACTGAAACATATTATTTAATGTTTCAAAATACAGCATTATATTTGGAAGGAGCCATAGGTTTTAATAATCCAAATAGTTTGTCAATATTTAATAAGTAAAATAGAAGTAGGAAAATGAGTACACCTAAGGGAGCAAACAGCAAAAGCCAATGTAAAGAAAAAATTTTTGTTGGGAATGTTCTTTCTGGGGCGTCACAAGGATATAGCACTGATGCTGTATCCTATAGTTTCTTTACTGGTGCCTTAGAAGAAAATATGAAGTCACTGGTAATAACGTCTGCATATCAAAAAAACATGGCATGCTAAGCTCAAGTTAGTTAGTTTTACGGAGTGTGATCATATGTGTTTCTTTAAACAATGTGTTTCAATACATCCAAATGCAAGATCCAATTCGAACAATGTATTTGTCAGATCCTTCTAGCAAAGATGGGAAACCTTTGCTAGAACAAGAGGGAACAGCCTCAAGCTGCGCCAGGGCAGGTTTAGTTTAGATATTAGGAAAAACTTCTTTACCGAAAGGGCTGTCAGGCCCTGGCCCAGGCTGCCCGGGGCAGTGGCTGAGTCCCCATCCCTGGGGGGATTTAAAAGCCGGGGAGATGTGGTGCTGAGGGACATGGTTTAGTGGTGGCCTTGGCAGTGGTGGGTTAACGGTTGGATTCAATGATCTTAAGGGTCTTTTCCAACCTTAACGATTCTATGATTCTATGAAATCACAGCCAAGAAATCAGCAACCCCAAAGTAGTCCAGGGAGCCAGCAGTGCCTAATCAGCTGAACAAATCCTTGTTATGATGTTTAAAAGAGGGCTAATGCTTGGATTAGAAGCATCAGGTGAGAGTGGGGAGGTGCTGCCTGTTGTGAGGACAATGCTGCTTTGCTCCAATGCTGCTTACATTTATGGTTTGTTCACCTCAAAAAGTGCATTGATATATCAAATGGCTTCAGAGAGGAGCTAGTTAATAATTCATCCATTGTGAGGGACTGGAGCCAGAACAGGTTAAGCTTCTTTTCAAAAACCAGATTACGGATTTATTTAATCATGATCTAAAAGTACTGTATTTTGACTTGTTCAACCAGCAGCTTATCTTTATTTAAAAAAAAAAAACCCACAACACCTAACTAATGCCAAATGAGCAATGTCCTTAGCATGATGGAGCAGTAGTGCTGAAAATACATCTGTGGACAAAGACGTTTAAAACTGGGGGAGATTCCCACACAACAGAGGACTTGAGTCTGCGTCCCCAGATCTTTGTGCACCCTTTCCGTATAGAAATGGGATTCTTTTTGAAGCGGAACAATGCAAGGAGTTTTTCTTACGTACGTAGATTTTAAGTAGCCAAGCTGGGAGTTAGTGATGAAAATGGGAATTCATGACTTGCCGGATGTTTTTAAAAAGAATAATTGCTGTGTGTCTCCTCACCTTCTGCATTCACTTTTGTTTCTAGCTGATGACTTCAGTTCCCAAGATAACCTTGATGACCCAGAAGCGGGTGGGTGGGATGCTACTCTTGTTGCAGAAGAGGAGGAGGAATTCTTTGAACTGCAGATTGTGAAGCATCATGATAGTGAGGTAAGCAGAGATGCAGACCAGTATATCTAGTTTAAGAGTCTTCTAATTGTTCTCTTTATATATTCGGATGTGAAAATAATGCATCAAAGACGGCGTACAAAGGATACGACACTTGGTTCTTATATGACTGACTGTGTTTTCAAGGAATATTTGCTAGGAGTATAACCGTGATTTGAAAAATAATAAAACTCAAGGATCTTCCTTCATCTAAATCCAAGCATTACAAAAGCTTGAGATTCTGACTGTGTGTTTAAAAAAATAAAGCAAAACTCCTGAGCAAATTAGAGTACAGAAGCCCCCAACTGAAAAACCAAACAATGTTAACCGTTGCTGCGGTTAGCTCGTTTACCTCTGCATTATTACGTTCATTATACTCCATTTTGCCACATAGCTCATAGTTTTACAACTTTGCAATTGTTGGTTTATAGTTTTTGCTGTTAGGTTTAGAATCTCTAATTTATTTTTTTACCTTAACATTTTGCTCCTTACTCTGAAACTTACTTCTTTTTATATTTTTAGAGGAGCTTTATTCCTGATGGTTTTGGTAGGTGTTTTGTTCTGTTTTGTTTTCAAAGCCTGGAAAGATGGCTACGAGGCCATTTTTCTTATGGCTTGAAGATAAGCCATTTAAATCTTCAGTAATACTTGTATTTTAACATTCAAGAAGAGAAATTCCAGCTTTTTCTGTATGGCTAGAATGTTTCAGCAACGTTATTTCTCAAATACAGATGGGAGAGTTTATGTGGTGTGATGGCAGATTTTTACTGCAATCCCTGTTGCTCTCTGGTTTATCTTAATAAATTAGGCCAAATGGTCCTGTAGTTCTGCATATGTTATAATTTATTTGCAGTGATCCTGGGTATTCAAAGATCTTTTTTTTCAAGAGGAAATGTTCCAGAGTTTGAGCAATTTGGCATTTTTAATCCCAACATCTTCATTTGGCAAACTAATCTTGATTTTTAAATGGCCTCTTCTAAAGTGCAGGGATTTTTCTTCATAGGGAGCGAAATGGAGAAGCTGACTCTCAAAATTTATGTATTATGTATTTTTGTTAATTATGCTTAATTAATTACAGTTAATTATACACCTAATTATGCTTATTAGAGGATACATTTTTTTCCTTTGCAGGTGAAAGCAGAAGCCTCATGGGATTCCACAGTCCACGACTGTATCCAGCTCAGTAAAGGAACAGCAGCAGATGAACGAGTTTACCTTATTGTGAGAGCCACTGTCCAGCTCGGCCATCCTGCAGAAATGCAATTAGTGTTACGCAAGCGCATTTGCGTTAACGTGTATGGCAGACAGGTATACCTTTTATAATCCTTCACACTTTCACTCTGCCCCATGTTTATCACTGCTTGAAGAGGGGAAGGCTGTGATTTGTGCAATAGGCTGCTGCGATGACTCTTATTTTCTTGTATCTACCTTCATCTCTGCCTGAATGGAAGCCGTTTCAATGGCATGCATCAAGACTTTAAGCTGCCAAATAATGTTTGTAGTATCTTTTATATTGTGGATGATAATGCAGCTTTTTTTTAAAGGCTCGATGGCATCGAAGTATGAGAGATTCGGTATTATTTGTATTAACGACTAAGTGCTTTATCCCCAATCACTGGAAAAAGTAGAAAGAGTTAACTTCTCATGAGCTTGGGAGTTCATGTTTTGCAAAAACTGTGCATCAGAAGAAACTTGTGTGTTTCCCTACTCTTATAGTATGTTCACACATTACTGCTAACCATTTCTATTTATGCATCCAGGTATTTAGAGATAAACTAGCAATAGTTGGAGCAGAGATCCCCTTGTGTAATTTGTCAAAGTTAATCACTCTTGGTCTTTTATGTTTTCCAGTTGGCTAGTGATCTTATGATAATGTGTAGGTGAGAGCAGGATGTTTGAGAAGTGGAAAGCAGAAGGTTGTCATTCCATTTGCAGCATCATGTCCTGAAAAATATTTATTCTTGAGAAAGATGGTGAGGAGGAGTTTGTTCAGCATTGTCTCAGAATCCAGCTTCCCCTGGCAGTGATAATGACAAAGCAGAAAGCCCGACTTGTTATTCTGTTTGCACATCTGTAGTTAAAATCTGAAGCAAGAGCAGAAGAGGTGTGGTCACACCCAGAAACCCTGTAGGCAACTCTAAACTGCGTTTAGTGCTAGGAATAGAAGAATACAGTTCTTGGTGCTTCAATCAGGCAAAAGCTTTTTCTGAGAAAGGGAACAGTGAATTTTTTTGTCATATAGAATGGAAGAGTGTATTCAATAGATTAAATTGAGCCTGCCAATAATTACAATTGTGTTAAGCCTTCATCAATTCTGTTTTCTACAGATTTAGTCAATGATGTTTTTTACTTTTATTAGACACGGAGTCTTCGGCTTTCTTGATACGTTTCTAAAAATCCTCGTCAATAACCTTTCCCGGGTGTTCATCTCAGCAGCATCTTTGAATGACTCATCTCTGCATTAATTCAACAGTCCAGTTCTTAACCCTGCAAGGCGCCAAGTCAGCATAAACAATGACCATGCCCCCTTAAGTCATTCTTCATAACGATCTCTCTGGTCAAGAATTTAATGCCTCTACTCGTCAATATTCAAGACAAGTCACCTAGGGCTCTACCAAAAAAAAAAACCACACCTCTAGAACTAGCAAATGCTTTGTGCGCTGGTTAAGCGGTCACCTTGCAATGAAGGAATTTCATCCTTTCTCTGTATCTAAAATACAGACAAGCAAATGATTTGTCTCCAAGTTAAAATCTTTGACTCTTTACATATTTATTGGCTAGTCTCTTGGGTTTGGACTTCTTTCTTTGTAAACTGCATTTACTCAGTTGAAATATGTTAAACCATGTTTCCCTTAAAGGAAGATATATTTTCTTTTTTCTTTTTTTTTTTTTTTCTGCCTCCCCACAGGGTTTTGCACAGAGTTTCCTCCGAAGAATGTCTCACCGAAGTTCCATTCCTGGCTGTGGTGTCACTTTTGAGATAGTCTCAAATATTCCAGAGGTGAATAAGAAATCAGAGTATCTGAAATTGGCTAAGAGCCTCTAACTTCCTGATTTTTCCCTTATTTTGAGCATGCTAGCTCTTGCTGCTGCAAGCATAACTATGGTTCTTGTAAAAGATTAAGCATATTCCTTTACATGCTGTGACTTAGCAGCAGCCTATGTCTTATTAGTGTCACTATGTATTTTGTTGAGTGAGAATCTATTTGCTCGGGTCCTTGAAGAAACATTTTAAAGACAGAGAAAAAGGGAGGAGTAAAGATGGGTAGGTGAAGTGCCTAACGTAGGGAGCATGAAAATATGTAAAAAAATAACAAAGTGGCTTTTCTAAGTAATGTCTTTATGCAACTCTTGATTCCCGAGCATGTTCATAGTTAGATGCTAATCCTTTCCTTCCAGATGCTCTATCGGAGGCACTTGTAAAAACATTAACACATGAAGAGCCAAAAGCGTGATTGCTGCCTGACTCTGTCTTTTATGTTCTGCTGTATTTAGCACTCTGTGTTGCAATGTTTCTCAAGCAACGTGCTATTTTTCTCTTGCAAGTCACTTGAAATTTTGTTTTCCTCACAGGATAGGTAACGCCCCGAATGGGTTCGAGCACTTTTTAATTACAAAATATCCAAATGCAGCCCTTTTGCTAATCAACGGCAATGTCTCGCTGAGACCCTCAAAAAAAAAAAAAAAAACAACCAAAACCACCCAAAACCAAAAGAGCAATAACTACGTATAGCTTGAGATGTCTGTGACAGTGGTAGGAGCACCCATGCAGTTTGTGTGGCACGAGTTCCTTCAATGTAACGAGGCTCACATTTAGAAATCTTGAACAAGACATCTGAATCTGCCCCTGAGCTTAAGGGCAGACAATGTTGAATCTGTCCTGCATGTTTTAAAAATGGGTTTTCTTCAGGACCAATGTGGGAGATTTTTATTTTATTTTAAAAAGATGTCACTTCTCCTCATTTTCCTAGGATGCTCAAGGAGCTGAAGAGCGGGAGGCACTAGCCAGAATGGCAGCAAATGTTGAAGATGCAGCTTCGGCTGACTCCGAAGCCTATATTGAGAAGTACTTGCGGAGTGTGCTGGCTGTGGAGAACATTCTCACCTTGGATCGTCTGCGCCAGGTCTGTTTTTAAGGCTATAGCAGACAGCAGAGAATAAGCTTACTGAGAACAGTGTATGGCAATGCAAATGTTCTCCTAAGTGCACACAATGGCTCACAAACCCCAAACCCCACTTCAGTGCGTACCTCAGCCTTACAAAGTGTGCGTGTGGCAAGCAGCCAAAGAAGCAAATGTAGCACCCTTTACAGAGATGTTCTCACTCAACTACCTCCAATATGGATGGATGGGACTGGGAGCTTTATACTAAATGCACTATTATGGGATGCTTGGTTTGTTTTTAAGACTGTGCATTGCTAATTATGGTTCAGAAGAGGTAGCCGCATGGCGTTAGCTTTTGCTTTCTGAAGCTTGGGCTTTAGTAGTCGTTTCTGAAGTTGTTAGTAGAATTCTTGTCATTTTGCCCATATTCTACCTTGAAGTAACCAAACCTGTTCTGTCAATAAATAAGACGTTGATTTGAGTTAATCTTAAGTAGTGTAACTTGATCTGTTTACCAGGAAAAATACAGGAGAGAAAAACATTTATTGAAAATTGTTCTTCTGGATATAAATTATGCAAGCACAAAAGAAAGTTATGCAAAACAAGCTAGAGTATGCGCCTGCCCACTATAAATTAACGGTAAAGTGTGATGCACTCTAAGTATTGAAAGCAAGTTCCCTGTCATATATAATTAGTTTAAAGGATTAAAATAGGAGCTCAGCTAGGAAAGGGAGTCCTAGTCTTCGCATCTGTAAATCATCTCCTAGAATCAGAACTAGCTGTAAAATCCTGCATGTGCCAGTCAGCAAGATACTAGATGTTAAAGTTTATCCACTCTTACACTTCTAGCCATGTTACCTGCAAGTTTTAGATTACAGTAGACTTTACAGACAGTAAGGAGCCTGTGCAATACGGCAGTCTAGAAACATTTTTCTTGTCTATACAAAACTATCCTGGGATGATTGGAGCTTAGATTCTTGCAAAACATACATACTTTCTTTGGTTTGCTTCTCTGATTGGCAGGAAGGTGCTGTAAAAGAGCAGCTAATGGGAAAAGGAAAACTCTACCGCAGGAGCCTGAGCTCCCCCAATGTGAATCGGGTGAGTATTGCGTGCTGGCATCTGCAGCATACTGAGGGCAGCAGGTCCAGTCTTTCAATTACAGGTCCCTATGATGCCAGAGTCACGGAGCATAGCAATAAATTTCCTTCTGTTTGACCCTTCTGTTTGTCTGTGCTATTTGTGAGCATGTAAATTGCTAAGTGGAGACAAAATCCGCACATATTCATGCTTTCATCATACAGGCTAGTATGCTTCAAAGCACGCCCATAAATCCAGACTATCTGAGAAAGCAATGTAAAAAGAACTTCTGCTTTTTTTTTTTTCTTGAACACTGGAGGTTTTTTCATTTAGCTATGAAGCTGAAGATTTTTTTTTTTCTTTAAAAGATTTGAAAGCAAGTTACAAGTATTTACTGAACTTTGTAACAGCATTGTGCATAAGAAAGATGAGACTTCTGTTGTCAAAAATTTGGAAAGAAATCCTTTGACAGAACTGGTAATCAAACTTGTCAAATTCTGGCTCCTTCCAGGTCAATAATCAGGATTTCACCTTTCATCTCTTGCATTTCAGTTCCGCTTTAACTGCAAAACTATTTCTTTTCACCCTTTCTTGTGTTTGTCAAGAGGCATATTTATCCGTTGTTTAAGTTTTTGTTAAGAAATAATTCTGCTTGTCTTAACTATTTCAGCTTTCTGGAAGCCGCCAAGATTTAGCACCCCCTTATAACCTGAGCAGTAACCGGGTAAGTATCTGAAGGTCTCCTGGAAAATCTTCTGTAGAAAAAAGGTAGCTGCAGTGACTACACTATACCAGTTACAGGGGCGTAAGTGGGAAACATCTGTAAAAAGGTGGGGTGCACCCATGTGCTCCTTGTATCCTTGGCACTGTTCCTAGGACATAACTAGCTTGGGATGTGCTACACTAGACCTCTCTGGGAAGGTTCCCAGGCCTTCGTCAGTCATATAGCGCTGCCGCCAACCGCTGTGGGACGTACAATAGCAGACCTGAGTCGAGCAGATGAGATTAAACGTAGCCATCCATCACACAGGAGTGCATTTATCAGGGGAAATTTTCTCCTTGTCAAGCTTCAGAGCTCTTCCAAAGCCTTCACCTGGGTGGATGCAAACCTTCTGGGTAAGGGACACATTTGGGTTCATATATAAGTTCAGGTCCTCCTCTAGGACAGAATAGAGGCCTATGAAGAGAGTCTCTGACCTTCAGAGGGAAACCAGCAGTCTTAAGCTTGTGGTGGGTGATAATTCAGCCCATTACACTCCTTAAAAACAACAGTATAGATCAAAAGTATTTCTTTAAAAAGTGAAAGATTAAATTTAAACGTATTTTCCAAATCCTAGATAAACTGAAGTGTCTTCTCCTGATGGATATTCTGCCCAGCGAGCGTGTAGTCATTTTAAAAGGCAGAATCTAGTGGTGACAAGGCATTTTAATGCATAATGCAATTGCACGGAATAATAGAATTTTGATGTAGTGCTCTAGCATTGGTTGCTAAATCTGCTACATCTGATCCATGTAGAGAATGCTAAAATATGTGCAGGTGATAAAGTGCTTATAGCAACTTCTGTTCGGAGGGAACTGCGGGATGTTTCAATATTGTGGGTTTTTAAAGCAAAAATTAAAGACCAGAGTTCTTAATGATTTCTGTTTTTTTCCTCCCTTCCCCTCAATGATTTCTCTCATTGCATGTTTCAAGAGTCCAAAGGTCCCAGCAGAGGTAATGCATTAGGTCCACCTAATGAGTGGGATAAGAATTTTATCTCACTATAAAGTTTATTTTGCTCACTTAGGCGCTTTTACTTCCTGCTTTGAAGATGCTGCTGGCGGTGTCTCGTTTGCATAGTACACAGCAAATGAGCTTTTTCCCTTGAAAAGCCTGTCATTGATGCAGTGTGAAACTGGTACAAATGAGAGAAGTTTCTCCTTCTTGGGTGCCTCTTATGGTTTGTTACAGAGCTATAGCTATTCAATGCCATTTCTCACAGTTCTTTGGACAGGGTGAAGTTATTTCAGAAATGGCCCCATCTCAGCTAAAAAAAAAAAAGATAGACATGAAAGCAAGCAAATATATGCCAGTCATGGGTACGTTAGGCTGGAGATGAGATAAACGTTGAGAGTTTCTTCCGAAGCTTTCTCTGGCTTTATGGCTTCAGACAGTTCAGCGTTAACAACTCTCTGATTTTTATGAAAGAATGATTTTAAATTAATACTGGGCCAATGGAAAACATGTTTATCCTTAGTATCATGTTAACACTCTCGGAGGAGTGTGTGTTCCCTTAGTTGTACCAAGCTTTGGTTACCCAGGGTTACTTGGTAGTGGTTTGCATGGGGTTATGCAGCTCTTCACTGTGGTTGACGTAGCTGCTGACAAACCCACCGTACCGCTGTAACGTGGAGCTGAGACGGTGCAGCTTACCTCCTTGCTCGCAGCGTGCTTCATTTTAAGGCACTTGTTCCTCAGGACATGGTGGGTGCAAACTCCCCTATTAGCATTTTCTGATTTCAAATGGATCTCTGGTTCCGTTCCCTAGGGAGGTGAACGAAAGCATTTGTAATCACAATGAAATGTTAAACAAATTCTTAAATGTTCCTATAGCACACAGACATCATAAAGCACACTGGTGGTATCAGTCATATCTATTTTAGCGTAAAGGATCTGAGAATGGCTTGATGTGTAGAGTTTCAGCTAAGGTAGATGTCAGCCACTTGCAGAGAAATGTAGTGAAAAAGAAGTCTTCTCCAGCAGTCATAAATCGTTATTTTACCAGAATTTGGTTTTGTTTACAAGTGACTCTAATAAGCTAATCTCAAACAAGTGGTTTATGATATCATAAGAAACATCAGTCACAGGGACTCTAATAAGCTAATCTCAAACAAGTGGTTTATGATATCATAAGAAACATCAGTCACAGGATAGTAACGGCATCCTGAATTGGGTGGAGAACTAATCTGTCAAGCCTGCGTACTTTAATATTAGTGGAAACCCCCGACACATTTCAGAATATTCCTCTCCTTAACTTTTATTGCACTACTTCATTTTTCTCTCTAATTTTAATGTTATTATTCCTTGCATTCCTATCCTGCTGTCTTTACCATGGATTTTTAGCTTTGTGGAAAGGGCTCTTGAGTCTCATTCCCGTACGTAAAGTACCATTCATACTGGTAAAATCATGAATGTGGACTCTGCTTCATTCTTCAGCACTATGAATAGCCAGAACTCATTCCCCTGTAAACAAGAATATTAAACAAGTTAGAATAAGACGTAAAGATGGTGTTGGTGCAACTAAAACAGGCAGATCAGAAGTTTCTGGAATTCGGACCCAGATTCGTCTTGCAGCCATAGTTGAATCTGTGTTACTACAGATGTGGATGAGTGGTCACACCCCCATGAAGAGCTGGAAAAGCCCTTTTCTACGACTGGAGCCAGGGCATGGGTTTGGCTCATTTTGAAAAAACATTGAAGACTATCTCTGTGTGCTGACACCACAGAGAGCTTCCAAAGAGGAGGGTGACTCTCACACTGAGATGTGCATTCATGTGAAATATTTAAGTCACCATTGGGATTTTTTTAATACTAACTCATAAGATTAAGCTACCTCACTGGCTGAGAAGGCAAGGAGATGCCTTGTAAATTTGCTTCAGAATACAGTCTTACGGGTGTTTCATATTAGGTTGACAGGACTGCATTTGGTCTCACCTCTAAGTTATATCTGCTTGCTTAAATGAGAAAAAGCCAATTTTTACTCCTGTTATCACTACAGATATGGCTACAGGAGAGCGAGATGAATTTTATTTCATCTTGCACATCAGCACATGTCAGGTGATGCAGGCGTATAGAGCCTCTCAGTGGTGATAAAAGATACAGAGCTGGATTTTTACATTCCAGAGTGTTGGCACTGGAAGTTTAAAAATTCAGTTGACTTAAACTGGATGAATCAGATGCACAAAGAATGGAAGGCACCTCTGACTTGTTTTACAGGTCTCCTTCAGACTATAATCACATATTGATGAAAAATTTCATCAGTTGTTCTTAAAATACCTTTGCACAATAGCTGTTCTGTCTTCGACAGTCATCCTTCCTTTCCCAAAGGTCCAGTAGTTTGTAGCTCAAAAGCCTTGTATCCAAAAACCAAGTAAGACAAGATTGTGCCACTTAACCTTCAGGTTTTACTGGGAACCAGAGTTTTTTCAGCAAATTGATACCACGTAGATCAATTTGAATAATCTCGCTGTTCGTGAGAACAAGTGCCTTTTGTCCCAGCTGTATGCTTATATTTAAGTGCTACATGGTCACCTTTTCCTAAGCCTTTTCTGAACCG